GTTCCTGACCCCTGCCAGGGTCCCAGACCTGCCTCTGTGTCCATTCCTGGTCCTGCCTATGTGCTTCTTGGTGGAGTGGATTTGGGAGAACAGGAAAGGTGGGAAAAAGCACACAGCTTGTGTCAGCACAAAGTGGGTTGTTAAGAACAGAAGAATTCCCCCCAGATCTGGCAGGAAGCTGGAGGAGCTGCTCCCATTGTTCTGCTGGAGCACCTGGAGACACCAGACTCACTGTAAAAGACTTGGTAAGCTTTAAATCTGCTGGATGGGCTATTTTTTCTTTGAAACCCTTTTTCTCCAGGTGATTTTCATCTTTGAAGGTCCAGTTTTTTTAAATCTGGGGACTGCTTTGAAACTGCTGGACATCCCCTGAAGAGCTCTGTGTGTCTCTTCCTTCCCTAAATAGCACTGAGATGTGAAGAATTTCCCTTATTGTGTAAATTAAGCAGGGTTTGGAAGGGGAAGTTGTTCTGCTTCACCTGGGGTACAGCCTTGGAAAGGGAGACCTGAGGGAAGTTGACAGCACCCAGCAGAGAGCAGGGTGAGGGGACAACATCCAAGCACCAAACTTTTACAGTTGGCATTTTCCATTTTTAAAATACTTTGCACAAATTTCTTCCTCCTGGGGATGCTTCTGTCCTCTAGCCTTCAGAATTTTGACATTTAATGCTAAAATCTATAGTGCAGAAGAGCCCAGAAGTGTTGGAATAGCTGTTCTCAGGCCAGTTATTATTGAGTCTGCTTGCTCTGATGGCTGACACAACTGCAAATCCCTGGAGAACGAGGAACTTGATCCACAAAACAGCTTGGCAGAGCAAGAGACAGTTTGGATTTTTGTAGTGGTCAATGAGAAGGCGCTGGAGGAACAGAATCATTAAAAATGTCAGTTCTGGGCAGTCAGATGGTCCTACATTAACTCCAGCTGAGCAAAAGCCATTTATTAGTGCCAGTAACGAGTCTGACAGTTTTACAGCCCATCAATTGGCTCTCTAACCAGCAATATATAGACAAGGAGTAAAGAAGAAAATGAGAAAATCTGTGCATTTATACAATAGAATTTGACCATCTAAAAGCCATCCTGGTATCCTGCAGCTCTGGGGAAGCAAGGTTTGAATATGATTTGGGATCTGGTTTGGTGTTCTGTTCAAGTGCTTTGCTTCCACAGGTTGCCAGTGAAGGACAGAGCAGCACTTTTGGACCTCTCTGCATTCTCTGTGAGGTGGCTTTGGTGTCTCTATGCTTGTTTCTTAAATTGTGTGTAGGTGGTGTGCTGTAGGCAAACACTGAACACCTGGAGAGCATCAGAGGAGCACAAAGACCAGGTGGATAGTGTGAAGTTTCAGGGAATAAATAAAAATACCTGATCTTCCCCTGCTCCCTCTTTTGTGATGTGTTACCAGGAGAGCTGCAGTTGGTTGAGGTGGGTTCAAACCTGGTGATTAGTTTATGGTCCTTCAGTTACTCCTCATGCATCTTAGAGCAGGTGGTCTTTGCTGTGCAGCTCCAAGGAGATCAAACCCCTCTGCTTCTGTTGGTAGTGGCTTCTTCTCCCAGTTCTCAAGAATGTTTATTCTCTGTTTTGTGAGAATTCTTAATTTAACACGAATGAGCCAAGAGGAAAATGGTCTCAGACTTCTAGGCTATTTCCTGGTGCCTTAGTGCTTGCCTGTCATCCACATTTCAAGGTGAACAACTCCTGCTATCCACAGTAGGGAGCAGCAGGAGATCTAGGGCAATTCACCAAGCCTTTAATTTTTACCACATTGGGACATGCAGTTGTTTGCTTTGTGCCTTTAAAATGTATGGAACTGGTGTTTTATTCTTTCTCCATTTGGGGTCCACTTGATGTAATTTTTGTATGTTTGCTAACACAGCTTTGCACCTTTATCAACTTATACCATATTACATCTGAATTTACTCTCTGTGGTGGTTCGTGTGTGTGCTAGGTGCTGTTTTTTATTCTCTGTTTTAACCTAAATCCATTTTTGTCCAGGTCTGCCTTTTTTTAGCTGACCCATTGGGGTGTTTTTTGCATCCACCTGTTCATGGAAAAACCACATTACAGGATTGCAGTTTGTGAAAAGCTGCCTGGCTCCACAGCATTTGGTTTTGATTTCCACCTACCCATGGAGGAATTGTACACAGGGGAGTTTGAACCCTCCCTGAGGATAGGATTTAGAGAT